TTCAGTGATGTTTTTGTTATCTTGGGTTAAGTTCAGTGATGTTTGTTGTCACTCTTGTTGTGTTAGTTCAGTGATGGTTTGTTGCAACTCTGGTTGTGTTAGGTCAGTGATGTTTGTTGCCACTCTTGTTGTGTTGGTGCAGTGATGTTTGTTTGTCACTCTTGTTGTGTTAGTTAAGGTGATGTTCGTTGTCACTCTTGTTAGTATTTGTTCAGTTGATGTTTGTTGTCACTCTTGTTGTGTTAGTTCAGTGATGGTTGTCACTCTTGTTGTGTTTAGTTCATTGATTTTTGTTGTCAATCTTGGTTGTGTTAGTTCAGTGTGTTTGTTGTTCACTTTGTTGTGTTAGTTCAGTGATGTTTGTTGTCACCTTGTTGTATTAGTTCAGTGATGTTTGTCACTCTTGTTGTATTAGTTTCAGTGATGTTGTTGTCACTCTTGTTGTATTAGTCAGTGATGTTCGTTGTCACTCTTGTTGTATTTTAGTCAGTGATGTTCTTGTCACTCTTGTTGTTGTGATAGTTCAGTGATGTTCGTTGTCACTATTGTTGTAATTAGTTCAGTGATTGTTTGTCAACATCTTGGTCACTTGCTGGTGTTCGGTATGTGTGTTTATCTTGCTTCTTGATAGATATTGGATACACTATTTTTTCGTGTTTTAGCTATTCCCTATTTTTTTTTTTTTTATTTTTTTTTTGGTTGCTGTGTTATTTGTATGAGTGGGTTTAACGATTTCAGCATTTTTGCTTTATAAGCAATGGGAAGGCCCCCACCTCCCAAATTGTTTTCAGTGTTGTGAGGAATTTTAAGGGTGGCCAGAGTTTTGTTTATGATTACTAATGTTCTTGCAATGGAGCAGAAAAACTCTGCATAGTTTCTGCAACATGGCAATGAATGGCAATTTCCGTTTATAGCTATAGAGTGAGCTGCTTGCTTAGTGTATTCTAAACATTAGGTTTGCCATTGCTGTTGGTTGGTAATGGGGTTGAAGCCTATTGACAAAGAGGGTCATTAAAGGCTTCACATAACCTTTTTTTACCAGACAGATATACTTCAATCTCTAAATAGGAATTTAAGGCAATCTCTGCCTATATACGTTGGGAGGAAATACAGCCCTCAAGTTGTATACCCTTGCTGGTATGTGATCCATAATCTTCATTTGGGTGAGCTAAGCATCGCATTTGGACTAATATCTTCCCGCTTCTAGGATAACACTATCATCTGCCTGTTACCCTTCTTGCACGAGGATGAGATGATAAAAGTAGGCCGAAAATACGGAAGAAAACCATCAAAATATACACTCAACATGTTCCAACACCTCCACACATAAACACAACACTGAGTAGTGGCAGTCTTAACGCTATCGTACACACACTGAAATAATATTGTTATATCGTATTGACCCTGTCGTACCAAATATTAAGTAAGTAAGTAAGTTTATTCAGGTATACACAAATACAGTTACATAAAATTATCATACATAGCAGCATATGTGTAGAGAACCTAGGATAACCCAAAAAAGTCAGACAGAGTGACTTATTTCCATTGGGGTCCTTTTACCTTATTATTATAATATAAAGGTTATAATATTTTCTTATTATTCTACAATGAAGATAACATCTTATTATCATACTAAAAAGACTATCTACTACACAAGGTCATTAAGACTTTCTACAATACGAGGGTCATTTACGAGGAATTATGGTAAAATTTACACGTATGTTAGCTAAAAAATAGAAATTATTCCCCTCCTTTCTGTAAGCTACATCATCAGACACTTTTGGCAATCTTTTGAATGGTTCAGCTATGGATGCTTTGACAGTGGGCGGGCAGTCTGTTCCATTCCTTTATTCATGATGCATAAAAGGTGTTTGAAGCTGGCCACTGACTGTGGGTACTACCAAAGTTGTGTCTCTCCCCCTCAGTAACTTTGATTGCTTTGTGTCCCAAACGTGACAAAATTGGGACAGCAAGATATTCTGGACACTGTTTGTGAGAAAATTTTATAAACATGATTTTCTGCTTCAGTGTTTTACTCTGTCGTCAACACTCAGCATTATCCAACTGCTGTAATTTATCCTGGCCCTCATGTGTTCTCTTGGTCCCAGCCCCAGGATGAATTACGATTGTGTTCTGGGTGATTTGCACTCTTTTTTCAGTTTTTTTTTGTCAAGGCAGAGTACAAGAAGATAGCAAGCGTAATCATATGGCATTGTATAAGGGCTAGTCATAGGGTCTGCGAGCCTCAGTAGGTAGACACTGTGCTTGTCTATACAGGAACTTCAGTCCTGGCATTCGCTCTTTCTTTACTACATGTTCCTATCAATTCTCCTGGACATGCAAGGGTCAAAGGGGATTCCCACATATTTTACTGAGTGAAACCAAGTGATGGAGTCCCATTACATTGAACATAAAAATATTTACCTTCTCAGGTTTATGTTTCGTGCAAAGAGAATGGCTTCAGTTTTCCCTAGGTGTAATGATAGTTTGTTGTCTCCTAACATTTGCGGCAGGACTCCAGTTCAGTGTTAAAATCTTAGCCAATATCTTGGGGTCTTTACCTGACCACTAACAGAGCACTGTCATCTGCATACAGTAGGGTTTGCACTTGGACATGAAGGCATATCATTGACTAACATAAGAATAATAAGGGACCCAGAATACAACCTTGGGGAACTTCCACTTGTTATCGGCAGGGTTCTGATTCTGTTTTCGTTATTTTGACTATATGTCTTACTGTTGCTAGGGAGGACTTAAACAGTCTACTGCCTATACGATAGCTTGAAGTTTATTACATATTCTTGTGGTAGACAGTATCGAAGGCCTTTTGCAAGTCTATGGTTATCATACCTTGAGGTTCCCCTTTGACATTTTCAGTTCTCAGGTAATCCAATCAGATTATAAGGGAGGTGTCGGTTGAGTAGGAATCTTCTAAAGCCCGATTGCTAGCTATGGTGGAATGTTGTTGTCATTAAGGTACCCTTAACTACTTGAGAATACAGCCCTCTCTAGATTTAGATATTATAATGATATACTAACAGGCCTATAGTTGCCTTACATCGACCTACTATTTTTTCTTGAAGATAGGAGTAACTCTGGCCTCCTTGAACCCCTCCGGTACGTTAGTAGTGGTTGATTGATAGATTTAGTATGTGAGACAATAGGGGTTGCGTTCAGATGCACCATTCTTTTGGAACTTAGACGGGATGTTATCAGGGCCTGTGCTCTTTGTTGGGTTTAACCTGCTTAGCTTCTTTTGAATAAAGTCATGAGATTACACTGTACTAGTTGACAACTGTTTGGGGTAACCTTTCTTGGTATAGTATGTTTGAAACTTATCAGGAGTCTGTGTTAAAGGTATTTGAATGCAGCTGGTAGTTACTTACTAGGGTTGATGCATACAGTTGTGTAGTAGGAATTAAGCAATTTGCAACTTAGATGTTTCGTGGCATACCTCACTATCGGATTAGTGATATTGCTTAGACCTATCTATGGCTTTTGGCTATACCCCAATGTTTTAGTTGTTGCCAGTGCTTTCTGGGGTTGATGCATATTACTCTTCATTTGTTTGTGCAGTAGTGCTTTGCCTTTGCTCCTTTTATTAGTCTCCTGTACTCTGTTCCTCACCCTTTGGAAATTCATTTAGTGCTGCAATATCCTGTCTGTTTGCGTTATATATCTATATATATATATATATATATATATATATATATACTTTATTTATATATCTATATATATATATTACTTTATATATATATATATATGTTTGCTTGATTTCAGGTTTAAAACACTATTAATTTAGCTTGCTTTAAAATACAAGATAATTTTTATATCTTTATTGTGGTACAAATAATTTCTTTATATGTAGTATAACATTGGGTTGGCACAAAAGGAAGCCCCTAGTACGCAATAATTTCAGGCTATAAAATGTATTTAGAAAGATCTTAATGTAAATTGATTTTGTTATATATATATATATATATATATATATATATATATATATATATATTATATATAATATATATATTATTATATAATATATTAAATGTTGTGTTCAAATAGGCTCGGAGACCCTTGGCTCATGGGGAAAGGAGTGCTTCCTAAATTCCTTTTAAAGAGCCGGGAAAACAGAGGAAAAAGAACTCATCAGAGCTAACTCGGGATCCAGTTGGCAGTAGATTTCTGTTTCAGCGGCTCAGGGGGCGGCTGTTCAAAGGGGTAATGCCTGCTGTATTTTGGGCACTCGCCCCAGCTCTTGAGGAGCTGGTGAGATTTTCGCCCGTATAATCGGTGATACTCGTAACAACATTTGTCACCGTATGTGCACCTTTATACAACAATGTATCTCTTAAATATATTATATATTTAGATATATATATATATATATATATATACTCTATATATATATATATATATATATATATTATATATATTTGATATATATATATATAACAGCAGGTGGGAGGGTTTACTAATGAACATGTACGTACTCTCAGTGTCCTGTTCAATGTTCATGTAGGCCTATACCACATGCTTGATGCTAGTGAAGGGCTCTTGATGCAAGGAATTAGCGCTACCTTTCCTCTTTTTATGGACCCAACTTGAATGCCTCCAGCGGAAGGCCTCGGTCAAATGACCAAAAGCTCCAGCTGTGGGTCCTCATCCGACTAAGACCCGTGTCATGAAACACTTGTCCTGTTTCCTGACAAACCTTACCTACCCTAACCTGACGCCTCCCTCTCCCAATGAGCTATATAATTCCTAAGGGTTTAGCTCTTCCCTAGTTATGTAATGTTGTGCAGTTTAATATTTAAGAGTCACGTCAGTTCAAATATATAGATTTGTTTTGTAGTGAACAAGGTTAGAGTGATCAGAGGGATTCATTATTTTATCTCAGCTTGACAAGAAGCAGACTTTATTTCAGGTTATAAACACTATTAATTTAGCTTGCAAACGCTATTTCAGCTTGTAAACATTATGCTTGTAAATATTATTTATGCTTGTGAACATTATTAATGCTTGTAAACATTATTAATGCTTGTGAACATTATTTACAAAACCGGCAGGAGGAGGTGGCAGCTCAAGAAAAGAAAAATAAAGAGCTCATAGAAAAAAATAAAGATCAGAAGCAACACTTCCAAGAGGAACTTAAAACTCAGAAGCAACACTTCCAAGAGGAACTTAAAACTCAGAAGCAACACTTCCAAGAGGAACTTAAAACTCAGAAGCAACACTTCCAAGAGGAACTTAAAACTCATAAGCAACACTTCCAAGAGGAACTTAAAACTCATAAGCAACACTTCCAAGAGGAACTTACAGCTCAGCAACAACGCTTCCAAGAGGAACACACACGCCAGCTCAACCCCATAGTGAGAGCCAAATAAACATGTGTTTAAGTGTTGTAGAATTGTACACAAGTGTCAAGGCAGGTGTCTGAAAAACTCACATTTGCAGTAAAGTCCTTGTGTAAAGTAGAACGAGTGAATAATCCAGTAGGTATATAACCGTGAGAGAGGATGGTAATTGTGTAAGAACTTGGACGAGTCATTACCTAAGCTGTAACGTTGAGTGGGTCAGTGTTGGTTCACTTGCACGTTACGTCTACAGGAAGGTGACTCCCAGAGTAGATCAGTAGAGGCAGACTGTGAAGCCGTCAGTGTTAAAACAAAACACTGCAGTGAACACTTGTCTGTGAAAGGCAGGAATTCACAGGTAGAGAGAAACACGAATATTGATGCCTATTCTCATTTTAATCTCCCTAATTCTCATTTATTTTATCCCTGGTTTTCTTACTCTCTCCCTCATTCTCATCCTTTATATTACTTATTCTCTCCCTCATTCTTCGACAGCTAATGCTAGCAGCGAGAGAGGGATCAGTGGCTATGGTGAGAGAGGTGCTGCAGCAAGGTGCAGATATAGAGGGTGTCACCACCTTGGATAACAGTGGTGAGTCTAGAGTCCTACCGGACTCCTACCAAGTGCTACCTTTTTCCAGCGAACCCACCAATTAACATAGTTTTAAAAGGATCCTAGCAGGATCCTTCCACTGTTTTCAAAAGTGCTACTAAGTTGTGAGTGAGTTTTCAAGGTTCCTTCCATGGTCGTACCAGAGTCCTTCGTGGTAGTACAAAGCAAAGGAAACCTCAGAGTCCTACAGAATTATTACAGATTCGTAATATATGTTAGAAAATTTATCGTAGTCTCCCAAAGAATATAAAAGCACCTTAAAGATCAATATATTTCAAAATACAATAAAAATACTGCTAAATACACTGTAGTTGCCCATGTACCATCACAGCACTAGTAAACATTTTTTTTTTTTGTAGTGAATATACAGGACCAATACTATCGATCCTACGAGCCAATTACAGATCTAGAAACTTAGAAGAGTAAATTAATGTGTGATTTATATTGGCTGATAAACTAGCGTGTGATTTATAGAGATAAATAAATTAGTGTTATTACGATTTCCTGAGTAAAGTTAGTGTATGATTTTTATAGAGGTAAATAAATTCGTTTGTGCCTTATACAAGTAGAGGCGTGTAAGTAAACCTTCTTATAAACAGGTCGCAGGGCCCTCCACCTAGCGCCCTGGAGGTTCACTGACGTTGTCAAGTTCTACTGAAGCCAAGCAGAGGCACGGCGAAAGACTACTACGGTAGGTTTGTGTGCGTATGTGTGTGTGAGAGAGGAAGAGAGAGAGAGAGAGAGAGAGAGAGAGAGGTGAGGGGTGAGAGAGGAGAGGATGAGGAGAGAGAGAGAGGGGAGAGAGAGTGAGAAGGAGAGAGAGTGAGAGAACACTTTCTTTTACTTGTCTTCCCTCCGGTTGCCAATATTTTAACCTCTGTCTTCACACCACTTCACAAACATTTCAATAACATCACTAAGCGTCTTCAAGGGGTGACCAAAATGTTCAGTTTAACCAGTCATACATTTAACCGAGCACTGCTTTAATAACTCTTGCTGATTTTGTCATTTGTTTTGTATCTTGAACACACTGCTGTTTTTTTCTGAAGAGGAAACACAAACTTGATTGTTTTATTAAGTTTAAAAGCCTAATGAATACACGAGTATGCTTAGAGACAAGACAGTAAGTGTCAGGGGCCAAAGACTGTTCAACTGCCTCCCAGCATACATGAAAGTGATTACCAACAGACCCCTGACAGACACCTAAAGTCAGCACCTGATCAGCCGGGCTGTGGTCGGTCAGCGTGCGGCCACCAATACAGCACTGGTTGATCAGGTCCATGATCCACCTAGGTCGGCTGGTACAGACCGGGCGCGGGGGCGTTGACCCACGAAACCCTCTCCAGGGTCATTAGTGTTGATTGTGATCTACTAAAGTAAATGATTAAACACACGGGACGGTTGGCTGAAAAAATTATATATATGTTTATATATATATTTATATTTATATTTATATAGATATATACTATTAAATATATATATATTATATATTTATATCATATAAATATATATATATAATATATATATGAATGTTGCCTGCGATAGGAGAAGGCTGGAGGCCGTGGAATGTCATGTCTGAGGGCAATGTGTGGTGTGAATATAATGCAGAGAATTCGTAGTTTGGAAGTTAGGAGAGGTGCGGGATTACCAAAAACGTTGTCAGAGGGCTGAGGAAGGATTGTTGAGGTGGGTTTCGGACATGTGGAGAATGGAGCGAAGCAGAATACTCAAGAGTGTATCAGTCTGTAGTGGAAGGAAGGCGGTGTAGGGGTCGGCCTAGGAAAGCGTTGGAGGGAGGGGGGTAAAGGAGGTTTTGTGTGCGAGGGGCTTTGGAACATGCGTGAGCGTGTTTGATAGGAGTGAATGGGACGAATGGTTTTTAATACTTGAGTGCTGTTGGAGTGTGAGCAAAGTTAACATTTATGAAAGGGGTTCAGGGAAACGGCAGGCCGGACTTGATCCTCGGAGAGGGAGAGTACGTGTCTGCACTCTGAAGGAGGGGTGTTAATGTGCCAGTTTAAAAACTGGTAGTGTCTGTTAAAGCACCCTTCTGCAAGACAGTGATGGAGTGAATGATGGTGAAGTTTTCTTTTTTGGGCCTACCCTGCCTTGGTGGGGGAGACGGCCCAGTGTGTCTATTTTCGATATATATATATTATATTTATATATTTATATATCTATATAGCTATATATATATTATATATATAATATATATATATATATATATATACACCTGCAGATACACATTCTGTGTATAATAAACCCTGAATACACACCTTGGTGTATATAAAGAAACTAAGAGATACAAACTTCTCAGTATATAAATTTATAAGTAACATATTAGTTCAAATAATTTATATTTGACTAACTGTTTACTAAATATTATTGTTTTGCCATTACAAGTAAATTTAGAAGATACATTAACGTGTTCCAGTAATAATTTAAAATTCCATTTATATTTGAAATATTTTTAATAATTTAATTATTTATTTTGCAGGGGGGCCGAGGCTATCATATGCGCCAGCTGGGTTGGGACACTGCATGCCAGGTGGTCGACCAGCTGGTGGCATACAATATTGACGTCATGCACGCTATTTAACATAGAAGGTGATTTTCGTATTTGTGGTAATGGTGGAAGCGTTTAAACCACAGGAGTCATTGGCAGGGGAGAATGAAAGGTAGTTAGATTAGATCTGAGGGGAAGAAAAATGTGTACTCACCTACCTGGAGGTACTCTGGGGGTCATACGCCCCGTGGCTCAGTTTTGACCAAGCCTGGAGGGATATACCTACCTCCTGGAGTCTACCTGGCGGTTTATTCCGGGAATCATAAACCCCCACTCGCTGGCCCGGTCCACGACACGAGCCTTCCGGTGATCAGGACGTGTATTCCTAACAGGCTATTGCTACTTGGCCTCACGTAGTAGTCCAACATCGTAACCACAGCCGACTGATCCGGCACCGACTTTAAGGGATGAGAGGTAATCAGGTTTAACGCGAGAAAGACAAACGTAAGAACAAATTCCTTAGGTTAAGAGTCCCCTCACCAGCAATTAGGTACCTCCCTTGAGGAGATCTAGACACATAATCCACTTCTCACATTCAACTTTTAATCCAATCCATCAAAATCCAGGTTGGACGGCGGCCCAGGTGGCAGCAGCAGCGGGTCACGTGACAGTGCTGGAGATACTTGTGGACCACGGACAGAACTTGAACGACAAGGACGGGAACACCAATTCCCTGCTCCAGTACGCGGAAGCCAACAACCAGCTGGCGGTGACGGAGTGGCTGCTGAAGAAGGGGGTGCAGCGCCCCCCTTTCACCAGCTACAGTTTACACCTCATCCTCGCTACCTGCATGAGTCTAGCAAGGTGCTTCTGTCTTCGCCCCGTGGTGGTTCGTATTGTTGTATTTCTGTCACCATCACATAGTACTGTTGTGTTTGTCACCATCACATGGTTCGTATTGTTGTGTTTGTCACCATCACATGGGGGGGGGGGGTGCTTCGTATTGTTGTGTTTGTCACCATCACATGGTTCGTATTGTTGTGTTTGTCACCATCACATGGTTCGTATTGTTGTGTTTGTCACCATCACATGGTTCGTATTGTTGTATTTCTGTCACCATCACATAGTATTGTTGTGTTTGTCACCATTCACATGGTTCCTTTTATTGTTGTGTTTGTCACCCATCACATGGTTCGTATTGTGTAATCTGTCACCATCAATAGTATTGTTGTGTTTGTCACCATCACATGGTTCGTATTGTTGTGTTTGTCACCATCACATGGTTCGTATTGTTGTATTTCTGTCACCATCACATAGTATTGTTGTGTTTGTCACCATCACATGGTTCGTATTGTTGTGTTTGTCACCATTCAATGGTTCGTATTGTTTGTTTGTCCACATTCACATGGTTCGTATTGTTGTGTTTGTCACCATCACATGGTTCGTATTGTTGTGTTTGTCACCATCACATGGTTCGTATTGTTGTGTTTGTCACCATCACATGGTTCGTATTGTTTGTATTTCTGTTCACACATCACATTAGTATGTTGTGTTTGGTCACCATCACATGGTTCGTAATTGTGGTGTTTTGTCACCATCCACATGGTTCGTATTGTTGTATTTCTGTCACCATCACATAGTATTGTTGTGTTTGTCACCATCACATGGTTCGTATTGTTGTGTTTGTCACCATCACATGGTTCGTATTGTTGATTTCTTGTCAACCATCACATTGTATGGTTGTGTTTTGTCACCATCAACATGGTTCGAGTGTTGTGTTGTCCCTCACATGGTTCGTATTGTGTGTTTGTCACCATCACATGGTTCGTATTGTTGTGTTTGTCACCATCACATGGTTCGTATTGTTGTGTTTGTCACCATCACATGGTTCGTATTGTTGTGTTTGTCACCATCACATGGTTCGTATTGTTGTATTTCTGTCACCATCACATAGTATTGTTGTGTTTGTCACCATCACATGGTTCGTATATCTGTGATTCTGTCTCCATCTCGTGGTTCGTGTTAATATACTAAAAACATGGTAAACCCATGAGCACGGAAACAAATGAAAGCACTATAAAAAAAAAAAGGCTATAGATCTTGTATCTTGGTTTAAAATTATTTTTTACAAAACTGGACATTCCATTAAATCTACCCAACAATAGAAAAAAAAAACAAGAATTATTGAGAAATGGTAGCAGTTCCCTCCTTCTGATGTACCTGTAATATGGTTGGTTAATTGGGCTTAAAGCCCATTATGTTTTATGTCGAGTTAAATTTATTCTTCAGTGTGAAATTGTAGGTGAATGGGTCCTCCCTCAAACATTGAGGTCAATTATTTATGGTTATAATAACCTTAATTTTTAAAAGGGCTGGACTGGTAAGCCAGTGGAAGGCCTCGGTCAGATGACCAAAAACTCAGCTGTGGGTCATCATATTTGATATGGACCCGCGTCAGGAAACACTAAGTCCTGAGTCTGGACAAATCTTACCTAACCTGACGGCTGAATAAAACCAGGTTTATAGGAAAGGGCTAGAATACAAAAGTTTAAT